CCCCTGCACTCCTCTCATGCCCACTCCCCTCCTGGCCGCCTCTTCCCTGTCCCCCAGCAGCCACCAGCCTGTTCTGTGTCCCTGCAGTTGTGTCAAGACGAGGTAAACGTGGGGCCACAGATAGCGGAACTTTCTGGAGTTGGCTCTTCACTCAGCACCATCCCCCGAGGGTCAGCCAGGCTGCTGTGTCAGCACCTGCTTGCTTTTTACCGCTGAGCAGTCCTCCGTGGTGTGTGGACGAGCATCGTTGCTTAACCATTCACCCCGGCAAGCACGCCAGAGCTGTGTCCAGCTTTTCCTGTAAACATTTGTGCAGGTGTTGAGCGTGTCGTCCAAAAATCCAAAATCCACAGTGCCCCCAAATTCAAAACTTTCTGAGCACCAACATGACGCTCAAGGGAAATGCTCAGTGTAGCATTTTGGATTTTGGATGGTCAGTCGATGCGTATAATGCAAATGTTCCAAAACCGAAAACACTTCTGGTCCCATGCATTTTGGGTAAGGGAAGTTTTTATTTCTCTGGGATATGTGCCCAGGAATACAATTGCTAAGTTATGTGGTGTGTGTTTAGTCTTTCTGAGAAACTGTGGCACTGTTTTCTAGAACATCTCAGCAGCAGTGTCAGTGTTTGTGTTCGTCATTCCGATAGGTGTGTAGCGATCTCATGATGACTTAAATCTGCATGTCCTTGAAGAATAGTGATGTTGAACATCTTTTCATGTGATTATTTTTCATCTGCATATCTTGTTCAGTAGAATGGCTGTCTTGTGTTTTCTGCCCATTTTCTGATTGGATTTTTTGGTTTTTACTGTTTTATTTTGAGAGTTCCTTATATATTTTAGATGCTAGTCGTTAGTTGGGTTTGTGGCTTGCACTTATTTTCTCCCAATCTGTAGCTTGTCTTTTTATCCTGTTAGGAGGATCTTTAGCAAAGCAAAAGTTCTTAATTTTCATGAGGTTCTATTTACCAGTTTTTTCTTGTAGGAATTGTACTTTGGTGTGAAATCTGTTAACTGTCAATCTAGTCCTAGATCCCAGAGATTTTCTCTTCTGCATTATTCTAAAAGTTTTATGGTTTTACCTTTAATACTTGGTGATCCATGTTCGGTTAATCTTGGTGCAGGGTGTGAGGCTTGGGCTGGGTCCATTTTCCGGCTCCAGCCCCTTGTGTGGAACCTGCCGTGTTCCCGCCCCCAACCTCCTGCAACGCTGCCAGAAAGCAGCCGGGGCTGTGCGTGTGGGTCTGTTTCTGGGCTCTCTGTCTGTTCCTTTGATCTGTGGACATTTTTGCCTTTTTCTTAGTCTTGGAGCGAAAGCGTTGTCTTCCATCTCTAAGTGTGATGTCAGCTGTAGGTCCTTTGTGATGGTCTTTATCAAGTTGAAGAAGGTCCCCTCTATTCCTGTTTTCTGTGAGTTTTTCTCACCAGTGGGTGTTGAATTTTTTAAATGCTTTATGTGTGTTTATTGATATGATCATGTGATTTTTCTTCTTTAACCTGTTAATACATGGTGGATTACATTGGTTTTTGAACATTGAAACAATCTTGCAACCTTTAAATACAGCTCATGTGTTCATGGCATGTAATGATTTTCATACATTTTTGTTAAGTATGTTTCTTTATGTTGACTGTGGATCTCCAGTTTTGTGTTTCGTGCTGTCTTCGTCCAGCCCCCTCCCGGGTAGCGTGGGGTGTGGTATTCCCTTGTCCTCGCCGTCCGTCTGCGGACCTCCTTCATTCCTCATGTTGGTGACTTGTTTCTTCTTTTTTTCTGTGTCTATCTTGCTAGAGGTTTGTCAACTTTATTGATTTTTTTCAAAGTTATCTATTTCATTGATATTTTTTTCTTTGTTTTAAACTTCATTAATTTCTTACCTTTATCTTCCTTCTGCTTGCTTTGGGTATATTTCTTGTCATTTTTGCTTCAACAATGAAACATAATTTAGAAAACTCAAGAGGAGAAGGAAAATCCGTTGTATTTTCCTGTATTCTTGCTTCCTTCCTAACAGAAGGGCCCCTTCTGGACTTTTTATCCCCCCTACACTTGAGCCCCTCGCACCCCAGACGGATCTGCTGCTGGCCGAGTGTCTTGGGTCCCTTCATTTCTGAGGATATTTTTGCTGGGTAGACTCTGGGATGATAGTTCTTTTTTCTTTAGTGCCTGAAAAATGTCCCGCTTCCTTCTGAGCTCCATGGTTTTTGATGAGAGAGCTGCTGTCGTTGGAATCATTTCCCTGTAGGGAAGGTGTCTTTTCTCTCTTGATGCGATCAAGGTTTTCTCTTCATCTTTAATCAGAAGTTTAAGATGTGTCTTGGTGTGGATTTGGGGGTTTGCCGTGTTTGGGTTTCACTTGGCTTCTCAAATTGGAAGGTTTGTCTTTTGCCAAATTTGGGACGTTTCCAGCCATTATTCTTGAGGGTCACCTCTGCCTCTCGTGAGACTCCAGAGACGTGGCTGTGTGTCTCCTGCTGTCTCTCACGTTCCTGAGGCCGCGTTCATTTTTCCTTTTTCTGACCATCTCTCTCTGTTGTTGAGATGTGGTGATTTCTGTTCGATCTTTACTGACTTTATTTTTCCTTTGTCTCCTGGGTTTTGCTGTGGAAACCGTCACTGCACTTCTTCGTTTTAGCTTTTATATTTTTCAGTTCTAAAATTTCCCTTTGGTTCTTCTTGGTGTCTCTTTCTTTGCTGAGGCTTCGTGTTTTCCATCGTTTCTATGTTGTAGTTGATGGTGGCAAGTTTGGGCGTCTCCGCCTGCACGGGTTGGCCTCTGCTGCCTTCGTCCACGCAGTCGGAGCCGTCCCGGGTCTCGGTAGGATGTGATTTTTGACGGAAGCCGGACGCTTTCACATCACGTCAGGAGACTCTATCTCGACCAACTTTCTCTGACACCACTCCAGCACAGAGCTGGCGTCACCGCCAAGTGCCTGTCCGTGCGGTGGGCGTCAGGCTCCCCACGGGGCCCCCGACCTTCTCTGAGACCCCAAGTGTGTGTTGGCTGGCATGGAGCGTTACTGTCTGAGAGATTTTTTGAATGTTCGTTTGTTAATTCATCTTGAAATAATAACGCAGGTTTAACAACACAGGTTTAAGCTGCATGCGTCCGTCCACCTATCCACGGGTAGGACATGAGATCTGCACATGTGCAGGGCTGACTGCGGGACTCAGGTGTGGGTGGACTGTGGTATCTCAGGGGCTCCTGGACCAGGTCCCTGCAGAGTCGAGGGCTGACTGTATTCAGCTGTTGCATGTGGATATTAGTAACTTTTTTTTAAATAAAAATAACTATTTTCCAAATTGAAAAGAACCCTAATGAGAAGGGTGTGACTTTGTTTTACATATCTGCAGCTCTCTCTGGCTGAGCAGTCAGTGTATTGTGTCTTGTTTTGGTGGAAACGCACAGAGGCTCTGGCCTCCGTGTGGCATCAGAGGAGGGAGGTTCTGCACGTGCCCCGAGGGGTCTTGGAGAGCCCTGGATTTGGCGACTGGTCCAAACCATCTTACAAGTTGAAGGGAAATTTGATTTTGGGGCGGGGGGCACTTGCCCACCTGGCAGCCAGCACCCCAAAGCAGTCTCCTGCTGCCACAGACCCAAACGCGTTTTCGAGGGCCCATTCTCCACTGAAGACTGAACACTCCTTTCCCTCCCATCAGCTCCCAGCAGAGAGGACATTCTTGTGATTACGTTTCATTTTTGGTTAAAACTATTAGAACAGCTTTTCTGAAGGGAGACCATAATACATTTGTTTTTGGTAAAAAGAGATACTTCCTCTTTCTTCCATTTTCCCGTGTTCACAGCTGGAGCTGCGTGAGTTGGCGTGGTGTCAGCGAGGCTGGCGGGCGCTGAGGTTGGCGGGGAGGGTGACGTCTTAACTTCCAAGGAGCTGTCGGTATTGTTGAGATTTCTGTGCAGGAAATCTAACCTCCATGAGATGATACTGGGTTCACCTAATATAGTAGCTTCTTTTTAATTTTGTGACTTTGACTTCATACCCCAATTTTTCTTCACAGTAATAAGGTTTCATCCCCTCTCTTCAGTGTCTGTTGTGAGGGAACCTGTGGTCCTGTCAGCCACGAGACCTCCTGGCCTCAGGCTGTCGTCCCCCCTGGGAAGATCCGCCCTCAGCACAGCCGCAGGAGGACACGCCGCAGTTTGCACAAAGATTCGCCCCAGATCCTGACGGTCTTAGCATACAGAAACATATATTCTATAGGACCTGACCCATCTAGATCCTGTGTAGCTAGGGGTATACAGAGGAAAGAAACTATTTCAAACAGAAGTGTGATTTTAGTACAGTAGAATAATCAGTGTAACATAACTGTCCTTGAAACAGCAGATTAGTGTTTGCTGGTTGATTTATCCAAGTAATACTCAATAGTTTAGTGAAGCTATACAAGCATAATGCTAAATTATAATAAAGCTATACAAACATGATGTTAAATTATCTTTTCCTATTCTTTATGAACAAATGATTTTAATGTCAGGCTTTTGACGTCTGTTTCATAAATTCACCGTTACATTTCTGTGTGTGTTTTTGTAGCTGGGATAGGATATAAATGTTGCTTTGTTTGTTTGATGTTTTATAGCTCTCTTGACTTACCTTGAAGGTAAATGACACTTCCTCGTGGTTTCTAGGAACTGTCCCCTCCCTTCACAGTTCGAGCTTTGTTAGGGCTGAGTAGAGCTGGGCAGGTGCTCTGTGGGCAGCGGTGGTTTGTTGGTAACAGAAGGTAGGTGTTATCTTGCAGCAGGAGTGAGCACCAGCAGGGCTTGTCACAGCCCGGCCCAGCTAGCAGAAACTTGACGCAGCAACTAAACGCTGATCAAGCGCAGCGAGCCGGCACTGATGACAGAACGTCATGTTTCTGCATAACCGAAATATTCTCTGCGGGTGTATGTTTGTTTGTTTACCTAGTCCTAGAGTCAGGAATCTGATTCAGTCTGAAAAGTGCAATTCCAACTGCTTTTCCTCATGTGGCACCTATAAAATTCATTTCAGAGCTGTTCAGCCACATCAGCAGCAGATGTTTGGTGAGGAGCTGCCCGAGGCTCGAGATGGAGAGCAGCCTGGCCCTTCTAGGAGGAGGCGACAGCCCAGTATGTCAGAGACAATGCCGCTGTACACTCTGTGTAAGGAGGATTTAGAGAGTATGGACAAAGAGGTGAGCCCCCCACGCCCTGCCCCAGGACTCCCAGGCGCCCCTGCAGCCGGTGCGCCGCCACGTGCGAGTGGATCTCTGTATTGCGTCCACGCAGGGAAGGTAGAGCTGGAATTCCGTACTTGCGTGGCTGTGTGTTGTTCTGGGTTAGTGCTTGTGTTTCTCACGGAAGTGTCCTGTGGAAAGAGATTTATCAAGGGATGCGTCAGCAGCATTTGGCACTAAAAACACTCATCGGGTGTTAGGGTTCCATCGGTGGTTCTTGGCCACATCCCTCTTCTGTTCCCCTTGTGCAGCCCACAGGCGCGGGAGTGTCTGGGGCAGTTGTGGCCACAGCAAGGGTGCTCCTGGCACCGAGCGGGTGGGGTGCGGCACTGCTCCACGCCCTGCATTGCACGGGACGCCACCCGGGGGCCGCGTGCCAGAGTGTGCACCATGCTGGGGTTGAGATACCTTGGGCTCCTGCATTTCCATGTGGACTGTGATTGCACACGTGCCGGTGACGGCTGCAGTGTCACCTGGTGTCTTGTCCTCACACTACCAAGTGGCTCAGGCGACATCAGTGGGGGTGACGGTGCCCAGACTCCAGGTCCATCATGAGCTGGAGTCCGAACACGGTGGGGCTGCTCCCGACCACCCCAACGGAACCGCGCTGAGAATCCGTTTATAGGTCAGGGCTGTTGTCGTCTCCTAGTTTCATCTTTCAAGGGGACAGAGCCCCTAACGGTGTGCTCTGATGCCCACCGGCCAGCCCTGGGTAGGGTTTCATGGTGTGTGATTTCCTCATCATCCTTCAGCAGAATATTCAGTCTACTCTTTCTTTTTTTTTTTTTTTTTTCTTTTTTTTTTATTAATTTCAAAAAAAAAAAAAAACAATTTAGGGGAGGTGCAGTGTTTTTTTGTCACGTTGATGAATCATATCTGACTGAAGTCAGGGCTTGTGGCGCAATTGTCACCAGCGTGGAGCACACTGTGCCCAACAGACAGATGTTTGCCCCTCGCCCCCCACCCTTCCCCCCCAGTTTCCAGTGTCTGTCACTGTCTCAGGGCCATACAAATCCTTCAGCTGTGCTTCAAAAGAACCGTTGTAGAAAGCATTTCACAGACCCTCCAGCAGACGTGCTCCAGCCGGTGGCACCAGCTTGGAGTTCCCGGCCACCCGTGGGGTCGGAGCAGAGGCCATCGCTCTCCGCTCGGGTCTTCACGTACCTCGTGAGCAGCCGCCACGCTTGCCTACGGCATACCACATGGCGCTGGGAAGAGCTTGCTCTGATGCCACTGAGAGCACAGTGGGGAGCATTTAAGGAGGGAAACAGTCCTTGTTTTCAACAATAGCAGAAAAAGACAAATGGTCGTATTCAGGACAGAATCTTTTTTTTTTTTTTTTTTGAGACAAAGTCTCACTCTCTTGCCCAGGCTAGAGTGCCGTGGCATCAGCCTAGCTCACAGCAACCTCGAACTTCTGGGCTCAAACGATCCTCCTGCTTCAGCCTCCTGAGTAGCTGGGACTACAGGCGTGCACCACCATGCCGGCTAATTTTTTCTACATATTTTTAGTTGTCTAGCTTATTTCTTTCTATTTCTTTAAGTAGAGACGGGGTCTCGCTCTTGCTGAGGCTGGTCTGGAACTCCTGAGTTCAAGCAATCCTCCCACCTCGCCCTCCCAGACTGCTAGGATTACGGGCGTGAGCCACCGCGCCCGGCCCAGGACAGAATCTTACCAGTAGCTCAGGTTATCATCTCTGACGATAGTTTATCTTATGAGGATTAAACCTTTGTCAGGTGTGCTGAATTTCTCTATTTGCCATTTTTCTGTCTTTTTGAACATTAGCTGTGTTTTGTCTCATGAAAATCTTTTCTCTAAAAAAGTTTCTTCAACCACTTCTTCTTTACCCCTAAGCCCAGATTCCATCATGTGGGTGGCAGGAGTTTCTTTGTAAGGAGCAGCTGCTGGCTGCCCAGGGGCAGGGTTGGCACCTGCTCCCCGACCTGGCCCTGCCACGCCTGGTCTTCCTGGCCGGGCCCAGGAGGGCTCTGCGTCCCCCACTGTCTGTGTCACCTCGTCAGGTACCGGCGGGGGCGGCGGCTCCCCTCTTGCTCATCAGCAAAGGGGATTGAAACCGTAAGATGAGGCAATGTCCACACCCAGACCCTGCCTTTCCTGCAGAGGTAAAAACGCACCTTAAACCTCAGGTTTGGCTCTTCGGGAGCAAATCATATTGAAAGACAGAGAAACCCTCCCGACTGGTTCCGCAGAGCCTGGGGCCACTGGTTCATAAACAGCAGTGAGACTGGAAGGTTTGTGTCCTGTGAACAGTGAATGTCAGAGTTTGCTTCCCGGGGGGTCCTGGCCCAGGAGAGGAAACAGCAGCACCGTGACCTGGGCAGGGCTCGCCAGACCTGGGCGACATAGCCTAGGGCTCCTGTGCCGCCTCCACCGTGGGTCCAGGGCCGCTGTGTGCTCAGGCCAACGTGCCTCCTCCCTCAGGCTCCCTCCTGGGCCCAGGGCCCTTGCGGGCAGCATCCCGTGGGCTCCGCCATCTCCTTGCACAGCCCGGCGGGGCGGAGGGCGGAGGCAGACACTGCGCACCCTCCCACGTGAGGAGGAGACCACGGAGAAAGGCAAGCCAGCAGTGCCATGAGACTAAGAATTGGTACCACTTTCACACGTTCTGGGACCACCGGGGATCTGTGAGAGTGAAGTCTGGTGTGTTCACGTCCACGTGGAATGCCGTGGCAGATGCGTCTGAGGGCCGTCTGTGTCTGTCTGTCTGTCTGTCTCACAGGGACACCCAGCATCGAGTCAGGGCCCAGCCTAGTCCACTGTGGCCTCCTCGCAACTGGTCACATCTGCAAGACCCTGTTTCCAGATAAGGCCACGTCCGCAGGGACTGGGGCCTGGACTGCTGCTGTGGGGTGGGGCCCCCTCTGTCACAGCTCGCGCTTCAGAGAACGTTCGAGCTTGTCTCTCTTTTTTACCAGAAAAACACACGCATACGTACCACACTTGTCTTTTGTCATCGAGATACTTGAAGTCAGAAAGGCTCTACTTCGGAGAACTAAATTTCAGTCTCTTTTCCGTCACGTGGCTGTTTTGTATCTGCGTCTAATGTAAATACATCCTAGTGACACGAGCATCCCTCTTCTAAATAAGCACATCTGCAGCGTCGGCGGAGGTGGCTGGGCTTGTGCTGCAGCCTCCTCTGACGCGTCTCCGCTTGTCTGCGAGTTTCTGTGCCGCGGAGCTGCTGGTGGGGAGTAGGCTCCTGGCTGTTTGCGCCACCTCGTGTCAGTCCAAGACGTCCAGCGCCTGCTCCTCGGGCTGGTGCTTGCTGGGGCCTCGCAGGCCTTCGCCTGGGCTCGGCGTGGGACCGAGACTCTGCTGCTTCCGGCTGCTTGTGGGGCCGCGAGTGCAGCAGCAGAGTCTTGTCCGCACAGCCGCACTTCAGACCCTCCTGGGAGTTCCCAGGAAACGGCTCCTACACGGCGCAGCGGTGTGTGAGGCTGGTGAGCCACCTCCTGGCCCGTGGGCCCCATATCCCCTCATCCTCCGCGTTTGCCACCTCGGCTCAGCGATGGCTGGTGGGGGGAGTTCGGGCGGCTCCAGAGAGTCAGCTCCGCCCCTGTGCCGACTCTCCCCTGCCGGGGCAGGGTCACCGCCCTTCTCCGGCCAGTTCCTGGAGACCCTGACGCCGTCCTCACCCCCAGCCCTTGAGATGCCATTGGGGTGAACAAGGAGGGCAGGCGCCGGCTCAGCGCCCGAGTGCAGTCCTGACAGTGGCGTCCTCTGCCCAAGACCCGCAAGTGCTCGTCATCGCCTAGAAGACAGTCAGAGGCGGCGGAGGCCTGGAAAATGGCCCCCAAGGATGCCACTGCCACATCCCCAGAGCCTGGCGGCACGTCACCTCCAAGGCATGTGGGGCAGTTGAGGACTTTGTTATGTCGAGGCTGGCCCGGTGGTCCAGGTGGCCTTCAGGGCCTTCGTAGCAGGAGGAGAAGCAGGAAAGGATCCCCGGGGCAGCGGTGCTGCTGTGGGGGTGGCGGGAAGGGCTTCTCCCCGACGGCTTCCAAAAGGACCCAGCCCTGCCCACACCTAGATTTGGGTCCCGTAAGAGTCAGCTTGGACCTCTGACCCCAGAACTGTGAGATGATAAATTTGGGTTGTTTAAGCCACTGGTGGGAGGTGGTTTGTCACGGCAGCCTCAGGAAGCTTGCACGGTTCTCCTCGTCCTCCAGCCGAGCCCCTAACTCACATCACAGCCACATCCTTCCGCAGCACCCCCCACGTGGTCTGCCCTCTGGCTCTCAGGTGCATGGCCCCGCACCCCTCGAGGGCCAGAGAGACCGACCAGCTGCCTGCTCCATGGTGCCTCATGGACCATGCAGGTGGTGCGTCGTGTGGTAAGTGTGTCGTGGTGAGCAGGTCGTAAGGAGAGTTCTGACCATTTGAGGCTGGTGGAAAGTCTTACATGGGCTGTCGGCTGCTCTGGGGGAGGAAGGGGCTTTGAGAGCGAGAGCAGAAGCAGCCGTGGGTGTGGGTGTGTCCTCCTACCCACTGATGGGGACTCCCAGCCACCTCATGTGAGCGTCAGAATTAAGGACGGATTTTCCGTGGTTTCCATGGGAAAACGTGTCCTAGTTCTATAAAACCTGGTGGACAGATTTCTGGAATTCCTTCTCCAGTTTCATACCGCTTAGGCTCTCACAACTAGAAAATGCCGCACAGCTCGATGATGTTGCTTTAGAGGAGAAACTGCCGCATCCTGTGTAGCCTGCTGCTGCTCGTTCACGTCTGGAGCTTGCAGAGTTAGTGCCACTTCCAACAGGGAAGGGGACAAAGCAATGTCACGTGCGACGTCAGTGAACGTTTATGGAAAAGGTACTGAAGAAAGCCGAAAAGTCAGTGAAAATTAACATTGTGTTTTTTTAATCTTAACTATTTTTAAATACTACCTCGAATATACATATAAGCCAAAAATTCCGACAACCTGGTCAGGTGCTGC